TATATATATATATATTTCTTTCTTTAAAAGTCAATAGTTCAATATTTCATATATAAACGTATCTTTTTCTATTTCTAAATCGTGTATTGTTAGAAAATTATATGATTATAATAATATGCGTTTTATAACTCGTATTACGAAATTTGAAATATTTCTATTTCTTTATTCTATTTTAAATAATAAAAAAAATATTTACATATCTTAAAATATATTTTTTTCTTACATAAAATATTATTTTATATTTTTGTGATAACGAATCATGTAATTAGGCGCTCTTTTCTCAAGTATCCAATCATAACAATCTTCCGAAAAAGTCCTCAACCAATCAGAGCGCTTGACCCAGCAGTGCTGCTGGAACTTCCATAGTTCATAGTGTATTTTAGTCGCCGCTCGTCCTCCTCGTTGGAAGGACGTTCTGCGTCTCCGTTGTTATATTGTGTATATATATTAAAAAAAAATAAATAATAAAAAAAGAATTGTTTTTTAATAATCAAAATAACGTATCATCTTTATGTTATATTTATCAAAGACAAGAATCTAAAAGTGTTATACATCTTGTGAAGTGAGAAATAAGTGAAGTGTTAATACATTTTCTTTTTCTTCTTTTACAAATTTTTACTCGTGATGTATAATTAATTTTATAATAACAAAATCGCGTAGGTTTTTTTTTTATTTATTATAATATATAATATTTTTATATAATTTTATACATAAATTTGATTTGTATCATAAATATGTTTCGTGAAATAATGTTGCAGTGAAAATTCAAGATATTTTGTTTATTAGTAATTTTCGTAATAAAATTGAAGATTAAAATTGACAATTTGTTACAAAATATAATATTAACTGTTCTACTGTTATAAGAATTCATTACTTAATTAATAATATTAAATATGTGAATAGAATATTTTATATTTTTACGTTGTAAAAATGTTCGTTATCATATTTTTATTTATCTTTTATAATAAAATATCTTGTGTTTATGTACGGGAATGGAAATAAAAAATAATTTTCTGATTTAACTTCGAGAATTTTTTAAAGATTAAAATACTAAAAAATACGTGAAGCAATGTGATTAGGTTAGGTTAAGATGATATAAGATGATATAACATTTTTATTTGATGAGATAAATTAATATACGCTTTTTTAATTGTGATTTATTAAAATTTTAGAGAATATATTTTCAAAAAATGTCTTTTCTAAAATTTAATTATGTAATGAAAAATATTTTAGAAATATGGATTCTAAGTTTGGATTGAGTTAGGTTAGGTTCGAAAAATAACATATTTTATTTAAATTTTACAATAAAAATTAACATAAGTTTATAAAAAAATTATATTAATTTTCATTAATATCTATGATAGAATTTCGAGTTAAATCAAGTTCAAATTCACTATTATAATTGAATAATATTTTGTTAGGTTATACATCGATTTCATAATAAATGTATCTTGCTTTTAAAACTTTTTATTTTTTGAATTATTTATGTTTTACAATTTTAAATATTTAAATTTTAACTACTCATTCTGCGGCAAATTCAGTATCTATAGTGATATCGATATATTATATAAGATTGAGACATTTTTATTTTTGTAAACAAATTACTGATAACAATAGATTTCAAAGATATTTTTTTATTTAGGATTTTTGATTGAAAATTATTTGCTTTATAAAATTTAATTACAATTACAAATTCATCTTAAATAATTTTTATGCATATACATATATTTAATTATTATACACATAAAATTTTAACGAGAATTAATAAATAATAAGTAATGCTAATACCAAAAAAGGTTAAAACATATTACATTATATGATCTAAAGTAAAAATAAGAATCAATTATAATTTCTTATTTTTTTATTTATTGGAGAAAAAGAAAAAGAAAAAAATGATTGGATAAATATTATAGATGATAAAATATTTTTTTAATAAGATTAATAATTGTGCAATTTATTAAAATGGTTCACGAATATGGAGGTCATTTTCGTGATTTGAGTGCTTAAGTGGAAATATAACGTATTGTTAGTTGCATTAATCAACGTATTCTTTCGCTCCGATTATTTTACGTATTTAAACATTTTTATAAAGAAAAACTTTAATATACATTACGATACGAATCGTTACGTTCTATCATGAAAATAACATTCTTACTTTCACGTCAATTATATTTGATGAACACATGTTTAATGTAACTAAAATAACTAATAAATTTGTTTTTATTTACATCTTAAATATATAAAATATTAAATGTTTCTATAAAAAAATAAAATTGTTTGATGTTTTCATTTAAATATTTTTTTATAACAGTAAAAATTGAAAATATAATAGAGAAAATGATTTAATCAATAAATTCGATTCATTATTAAATAATAATATGAATTTTTTTAATTTTTATATTCGATTTTCCCATAGAATTATGCAATAATAATTAAACAATCAATTAAGTCTTTTTTATTAAAGAAAAGCTATATAATTCTTTAGGTATTTCTTCTCTTATAGTTCAACGCTTTCTCATGGGAATAATTTGCGAGTTAACTAGTATCCAGAAAAAATACGATAATGGTTTATTGTTTTCGAAATTCTTTGACAGAATTTTTTCACATCAATTCATTGCTTTTATTTTAATCAATGGATCGTAATTAATCAATTCGCATAAAAATTTTGCGTTATACGTTCAATTTTCACTTTTTTCTTTTTTTTAGAATTGCAAAAATATATAAAATTTGTTATAAAATCCGTGCTAATATTATATTCTTTAATCAGTCTAATTCATTTTTAATAGATTAATAATCACATGATTTGTGTTTTGTCTCTCAAACTTCAATCTTTTACCTTTCGCGTTACATAAGAAATTTATTTCTGTTTCGAAAAAGTTTTAATTTTTTTACAACAATATAAAATTTTAACCTTCGCAAAAATTATACGTTTTCACCAATACCAATTTATTATATATATATATAATCTCATAATAATATATAATCTCTTATTATATATATATATAATCTCTTAATAATATATAATCTCATATCATAACCTCGGACCACGTCGCAATTAATTGTATCGCGATCATAAAAATTATATATTGTTCGATTCGCAATAAGTTAATGATTTTATTACTGGCTTATATAAATATTATCAATTAATCGAGTGACACATTGGAACTTCCAATCGATTGTTTTCTTATCGATTTATAAATTTTTAAAGATCTACTTTCAATACCTCGATGTTTTTTTTAAAAGATACGAGGATTTTATTTATTTTGATAAAAAAGATAAATAAATAATTTTCATTCCAGAAAATATTTCATTTTGTAATAATTATACGAACCGATAGATGTTACCAATAATAGAAATAATTAACATTATTTCACGAAAACATTATCTCATTATTTAAATTATCTCGATTATTTGACATTTTTATATACGATATAGTATATCTCGTTCTTAGCGATCGAAAACGAGCGAAGAAAAAATTTAATTGTCCAAAAGGATACAAAAAGAAGAGAGAAAATATAGTGCAGTGTTTTTACGAAGCGTGTGAGTCTCGATCGTTTAAAGATCGAGCATTTGATTATGGGGACATGAGTAACGAGAACGATCGGGAAGAATCTTGGAAGAAATTGAGCGATAAATTTGAAGGATCTTCGTGCGCGGGAACAAGAAGAGGGGAAACGAAGGAGGATGATTGTTCGAGAACGGTTAAGAAAATTGGAAATGCGTCGGTCAATCGAGGATCGATTAAAAATTGTCGAA